TGCTACACCATTTCGCTGCCTGACCATGGTGGAGTGCGGTTGTGCTCTGCACCCCTCTGCTGTTTTCAGGCGAGCTACCATCAGTTCGTCACAACCTTTGAGTAGTGAGGACGTGAGCTGCTCATTTACCAACATGGCGCTGCATAGCTACAGGCGCATCAACACTGCGTTGAGTTGACCCGTGGGGCTGTCACCGGAGCCACGATGGACTTGTTACTCCCGGCGATTATCCTTGATACCTAGGGTATTGCAAATGAAGAGAAAAGGGGGTTTTGGCATTAAATGGGACGCCAGGTTTTCTTTTAAAATGACGCAGCAAATGTTTATGAAGCGGTGGTGGATAAGTATTAAAAACCCCATTATACCCTTAAATTTTCAGCTGTATCAGACCCCTTCATATGTATCACGACATACACAGGGGTTTAAAAAATAAGGAATGTGCCCTTTTGAGGGAATAATTGTTTTTAAAGTTTGAACTACAAAATTTTTGGTACGGGTTTCTAGGGCCTCGTAGGTCGGGGGGGCCTGGCCCTTTTTTCCCTGGAATTTTGGGGGGAAACATATTCAGAAAAAAATTTGCCCTTAGGGGGCCATCCCTTTTAAACCCCGGGTTTTCCCAATATTATGTTGCAAGCATTTGGGAAACTAAAGTATATGTAAATAGGGCGGGGCAACGTCTTACTGTCGGTTTGTTTTGGGGTCTTTATGCCCAAACTTAGGGAAAGTGTGGTAAGCTTGGGGGGGAAATTTAAAAATTTCCCAAAAACAGCAAAAACCCGGGAAGAGGCCCGAGGAAGTTGGGGACGAAAACCCGTTTAAATGCTCCCCCGTTCGACAAGGAAACTGGAGTAAAAGGAGGTAGAAAAAGGAGGAGAATGTTTTTGGAGGATGCAAAACAGCGGAAAAAATCACCGTCCCCGGATTAAATAAAATATTTAAGAAAACCCCGGCCCCTATGGGGGGCGAGGATTAGCGGCGTCTTTAGTGGGGGCATGGAAAGTATTGTTAGACGAGTCGATGTCAACCCTGTGGAGGATTTCCGGTGCAAAATTTGGGGTCGGTTGAGCATATGGTGAGGGGGACGGAAAGAAAGCCTTGAGTCCCGGTGTGTCGCATGGATGATGGTTTAATAAGCGAAGTGGGGGTGCAAACATGGTAGTACTAAAAAAAATCCAAAGCGGTGGGGTTTGGGGCGCGAAAACGAACTGCGGGCCCCCCAAATAAAACGACGTGCTTACTCCCCCCAAAGGCCCCAGGGAAAAATTTTTGGGCGGATGTACAGAGGAAAGAGAAAAGTGAAATCCCCGAAAAAAAAGAGTTTTTTCAAGGGGATTCCCAAAAAAGGGGAGAGGGATAAAAGGGGGTTTAAAAGTTAAGTGAAAAACTTACCCAGAAAAAAAAAAGGGGAAAAACCCTTTAAATTTAAATTTTTAAAGGGTTTTCAAAAAATATTAAGGTTTGAGGGTCTGAGCGGAAGCGAAAGTGGTTTAATGAAAATTTTTTTTGCGTTAAAATGTTGGGTGTGGTATTTACCAAAAAACAAATTAAAAGAATTGGATATGGGTTTGAAATGGATGGTTACGATGTGGGATATGGGAATTTTGCGAGGATTTTGGAAAACCAGTGGCACTAAAATTTACAAGGCAGTAATAGGTTTTTTGGGGAAAAACAGGGAAAAGGGGCAGGAAGGGGAAAAAGAGGGGGTCAAAAAAATTTTAAAAATTTCAAAATAGGGGCAGTGGGTAGGATTTGGGACGAGTTGAGGGCTAGTTGCTAGTGCAGGTAACATAATGTATTTTCCCATTACTGGAAAGTGGTTTAATTCAAACAGTCGGGGCATCCCGCAGAATGTCACATTAGGGTTTTTTAAAAAGTTCCAATT